CGGAGAGCTAAAGCTCTTTAATAATCGTAATGCTGTTTACCCATCATAAATATGTTTATCTTTCATAAAAGTCATTTTATAGTGTATTTCAAATTCATAGCATAGACAGAGCAAGGCACTTCGCGAAAGACGCGGAAGCTATTTGAAGTAAACATTCACAATAAAGGGCAATGAATGAAATGTTGAAGCTCATAAATCAGTGAGGAGCGCTATCTAAGAGGCCTCCGGAGAACTATTTCTTGCCACGATACATCAATAAATAAAAGGAAGCATCTTCCGAGATAGCCACTGCTACTCCGTTGAATATTTGAGAATTCATGGTAGAAGTAGTAATGGGTATTTCAAATGATGCATAATTGTGCATAATTTTAGATTTCATATAGTTGCTGATTTTATATTTGAATAGATGATTTATAAATGGGATTTAATAGTTTGAATGTTATAAGAAAAATTTTTGAAATCAGCTTATAACAAACTTAGAATCTTATGGATTTAAAATTTCATTTTGCTCCAGCTGCTTCACGTTGGCACTTGTATCAATTGAACTTGCTACATACTTTACAATGGATAACATCATTTTGAAAAGTTAATTATATTTTGTAAAATAATAGTGACCATGATATATAAAATTTCTTTTCAAAGGTTCTGAGGTACATCTCCAGAATTTCAGGAATCTCTGTATCAATAGTTTGCTTTATTGTTTCTTTTGTTTGGTTTGCCGCTCTACAGTCATTTTGCACCCACTTTAGGTTAAATAGACCGGGACCAACTGTTTAACGTGGATTCCGAACCCCTACAAATGTCCATAGCACTGCCGAGACTCAAACCCGAAAAATGCGGCTTTGAACGCTAAAGCACTGGTTTCCCGACCATCATTTATTGTACTATGCGATAAAAATCTCAGAGAATATAATTTCATAAATGTAAATACTTTTTACACTAGAATCTTTAGGATTTTATATTCTTTACTTTCAGAATAAAAATATTAAAATTTTTGATTGAAACATTATTACTCTTATACGGTTTGGAAATGATGTGGTTGAGAAGTCTGATTGGGCACTGTGACACTCTACTGTCATATGAGACCGGGACCTACGGCTTAAAGAGGATTTCAAACCCCTACAAACATTCAGGAAATAATGTGCGGATAATAATATGCAGTTCATAATGAATTGGAAAGGGTAATAAATATAATGAAATAATTAAAATTTATTTCAGACAAATAACAAAACAATTGACGAGAAATTTCAGCAATTTAAATTAATTGAATAAATTCTAAAGAATATTCATAAATGATACGAAAAAAAATACCACCCATTTAAAAAAAATCTAATTAATTCATCTAAATGATCAATATTGAAAAATAACACTTATTAATAATCATCCATTGTACATAATTAAAAAATAATGAATAATAAAAAAAAATCATATTAAGGTTTTTTAGAAGATAAAGTTTTTATATTAAGTTTTGAGAGAGGAGAAAATAATGAAGAAATTCAATTTTAAGAGATATTATAAATGATTAATTAAAAATATTTTTGCATCGCCAATTATCTTTTTCACACCAATTATTAACTGATTATCAAGAAGCCTTTCAGAACGCCCTACAATGGCGTATTTATGGATGGAACAATACGCATTCTGAGTGCCGCATTCGATTATTCCATGAATAAATGGATTTCTTTTGTCTCCGAACAATGTCCAAAGCGTGTGGTGGGTCTTAAAAGACTTTAATTAATAAATGTTTCTGGACTTTTAAATCCAGGCTGCCTTTCGCCTCGATTCAGACAGAAGCAAAATAATTGAGCAACAGCTCATTTTGCAGGAATTTCCGGTGGAACGGGCTTCGAACTTTTACAAAAAGCTTCCTGTTACTGTTCGGCATGAAAACAATGAGTTAATTAAAATATGACTATCTTTTAAACTTTGCTATATATTGGAACTTTAACAATAAATCATCATGCTGGTGTTTGCTGCGTGATTTAGGAATAATTTTTCCATCTGAATTCGTAAAGATATTTCAATATTTCTGATTATAACAATGAAATCATTTTAAATAATTTATTAGGCTAAACTATTGAATGATTGGAAGTTTAGAAATGGAATTCGTGTTTGCATTAAATATGTTTGGAAGACAATTACGTTTACTATTGTTTTATTTGAGAATAAATATAACTGAAATTAATATACCTAATGGGAATATAAAGGTGCCACAGGATTCGGGTTAGAGCCCCGGCGGTGCCGTAAGTGCTTGTAGTGGTTCGAAATCCACTTTAAACACTAGGTCTTGATTTAATACTACAATTACTTTTACAACACACCACATCACTATGTCTAGAGCTAAGTTGCTCTGATTGGGCTCTGTGACACTCTACGATCACATGAAACCGAGGATCTACAGCTTAAAGTAGATTTCGGACCACTACAAACATTCAGGAAATATTGTACGGATAATAATATATTAGGAAATAATATGCAGTTCACTTTAAATTTGAAATCAATATTTATTAGGGATAAATAAAATGCATAATTAAAATTTATTTCAGATAAATAACAAAAACAAATGACGAGAAATTTAAGCAATTTAAATTAATTGAATAAACATTAAAGAATATTAAGAAATGATACGAGAAAATTATCGTCCATTTAAAATAAATCTAATTAACTGATATAAATGATAAATATTAAAAAAATAACACTTATTAATAATCATCAATTGTACAAAATTAAAAAATAAGGAATAACAACAAAAAAAAACTATTAAGGTTTTTATCACATAAATTTTTAATATTAAGTTTTCAGAGGGGAAAATAATAATGAAGAAATTCCATTTTAACTGAAGTAATGTCCGACTCGTAATCCTATATTTTTTCAACGAAAATATCAATTTTTCTATGGAAAAATTCTAAAAGCAATAACAGGAAAGAAATGCCATTTTGACATTAATCGAGATTGTACAAGAAATGACAGTGTCATAATGTAATTTAAAACTTGTTTGCTAAACCAATTCTTATTCACTCTTAAAAGAAAATGAGGTTCTTGGAAAAATCAATTCATCTCCTCAATAAAAGTCCCCTGCAGCAATGAAAATTGCAAAAAGAAAATAGACCTTTCTGGAGCATGAAGACAAAGAGTCTAACTTAACAGAAAAGGAATTCCAGTTAACCCTACAAGATCTTCCCATCTTACCAAGGCGTTTCAACTATTTCTGGCAATCTCATGCCATTTCTGTCCCAAATCTGATTTTTTTCATTTTCACCCTCTCCTGCACTACCAGGACATGTGAAGCCCATAACACCGTGGGACACCTTTTATCTCCCCCTTATTCCCTTTTGGCGTTCCATATTTTGAAGACGAACTTTTTGAGCCCTCCCTTTTTATGTAGTTATAGACAGTTCTTTTGGTTACATGTGTAATCAGATTGAAATCTTTCGCCTTTCATCCACATTCCACCAGTCTTTTTGAGTTCACGAATGATTTTTCGTTGATCACGTTGGGTGAGTTTTTTTTTTTTTGAGAACGTCTGCAGGAAGAAATAAAAAAGGGTTTCTTATGAAGTTCGAAACAGTATTAGGAAGAAAGGGTAAGCTGAAGGCAATCTTTCACACCTTTGCCTTCATTTTTATAGGCAACTATTTGGCCCTTCTGAAACTTATCTTATATTCCTCTGGGCATCCTAAAACCAATAAAAACTATGAATTTCTAGCTAAATATTTTATTCTTGTTAAAAAGGAATTAAAAGAAAAAACACTTACCTAATAAATTAACAGCTTCTAAATATGATTTTTGGATGTGTCCTTCTACTTTTTTTCAACAATTAAGTTATTAAAATTATTAAAGTTAAAATGATGGTAAATAAAAAAATCTCATTTAACTTTCACTTAACGTAAATTAAAACTTTAACTGAACTCTCTATAAAAATCAGATCAAAAGCAGTAAAATAAAAGCATATTGTACAAAAAAATGGACTGTCCTTCTACTTTTTTCACACAGTGTATAAATAATAAATATTGAAAAATAACACTTATTAATAATCATCAATTGTACAAAATTAAAAAATAAGGAATAACAACAAAAAAAAACTATTATGGTTTTTATCACATAAATTTTTAATATTAACTTTTCAGAGGGGAAAATAATAATGAAGAAATTCCATTTTAACTGAAGTAATGTCCGACTCGTAATCCTATATTTTTTCAACGAAAATATCAATTCCATGGAAAAATTCTAAAGCAATAACAGGAAAGGAAATGCCATTTTGCATTAACCGAGATTGTACAAGAAATGACACGTGTCATAGTCAATTTAAAACTTCTTTGCTACCAATTCTTCTTATTCACTCTTAAAAAGAAAATAAGGTTCTTGGAAACAATTTCGGGACAATAAAAGTCCCCTGCAGCAATGAAAATTGCAAAAAAGAAAAAAGACCTTTCTGGAGCATGAAGACAAAGAGCTAACTTAACAGAAAAGGAATTCACAGTTAACCCTACAAGATCTTCCCTCTTACCAAGGCGTTTCAACTATTTCTGGCAATCTCATGCCATTTCTGCCAAATCTGATTTTTTTTCACCCTCTCCTGCACTACCTCACAAAAGGAAGCCTATAACACAGCGGGACACCTTTTATCTCCCCCTAGTATGCCCTGGTGGAGTTCCATAGGAAGATTGGATTGTGCCCTCCCTTCTTAGGGAGGCTGCCTTCATTCAGGAAATCTTTCCCTTTCATCCACATTCCGCCATCCGCAAAATTCTCCGGATCGCAGACTCGGTTAGAGAACGAATGCAGGAAGAAATAAAAAAAAAAAAAAAATAAAAAGTAAAGACAGACAGGAAGAGAAAGAAAGTGTAAGATAAAGAAGGAGGTATTTTTAACAGGGATGATATCTAATCGTGTAAGGAGGGGATCTAATCTTTGAAGTAGATATCTAGATTAATTTCCGTTGTAATGAAGTCGTAGAGGATCGTCGTGCGATTTCTATTAGAGTTTTATAATGTGTTGAGGTTCTCGTTACATCACCGAAGTGAAGCATCATTGGGCGCGGTCAGTACTTGGGTGGGTGACCACCTGGGAACACTGCGTGCCGTTGGCAAATTTGGGACCTGAATGGCCGAGTGTCTAGCGCTCTGGCGCTCGGTGCCACAGGTTTCGGGTTCGAATCCCGGCGGTGCCATGGATGTTTGTAGGGGTTCGGATTCCACTTTAAGCCGTAGGTCCCGGTCTTCTATGACTGTAAGAGCGTCACGGAGCAAAAGTCAGGCTTCTACCTACGGGTGCTCCATCACAACAGAAGCTGCTTCCTTCCCCTTCAATCATGAGTCCATATGGGCTCGTGGTCTTGGCCAGCCAAGTGGGATAAGAAACAACAACAACATAATGTGTTGAAAATCACTAGAACTTTATAATGGAATTATCGATTCCTGAAATATGATGTAAGTTGAAGTCAGTATAAGTTAACAATTACGCAGTTAAAAAATTATTAAGAGTTAAAAAAATTATTAATAAAAAAATTAATTAATTTAAATAATATTCTGAATTTCTTACTCCAACAAATCAGTTATTCTAACTAATGGGTAAAACACCAACTGTTATACTAACAAAAGGTATTCAAATAAAAATTAAATATTAATAAATAATTTTATAAATATTAATAAATTATTAATAAACTTGTTGGATGCAATTAATTTATCTTTTAAAATAAAGTTTTTTCATTAAACTGAAGCAATGTCCGCCTCGTAATCCTATATTTTATCCAACGAAAATATTAATTCTATGGAAAAATTTCAAAGCAATAACTTGAAAGGAAATGCCATTTTGCATTAACCGAGATTGTACAAGAAATGACACGTGTCATAGTCGATTTAAAATTTCTTTGCTAGCAATTCTTTTTATTCACTTCTTAAAAAGAAAATAAGATTCTTGGAAACAATTTCAGGACAATAAAAGTCCCTCTGCACCAATGCAAATTGCAAAAAAGAAAAAAAAAGACCGTTCTCAAGCATGAAGACAAAGAACTAACTCAACAGAAAAAGAATTCACAGTCAACCCTACAAGATCTTCCCTCTTACCAAGGCGTTTCAACTATTTCTGGCAATCTCATGCCATTTCTGTCCCCCAAATCTGATTATCTTTTTCACCCTCTCCTGCACTACCTCACAAAAGGAAGCCTATAACACCGTGGGACACCTTTTATCTCCCCCTAGTATGCCCTGGTGGAGTTCCATATGAAAATTGGATTGTGCCTTCCCTTCTTAGGGAGGCTGCCTTCAATCAGGAAATCTTTCCCTTTCATCCACATTCCGCCATCCGCAAAATTTTCCGGATCGCAGAATCGGTCGAGAACGAATGTAGGAAGAAATAAAAAAAAGAAAGGGAAGACAGAGAGGAAGAGAAAGAAAGGGTAAGATAAAGAAGGAGGTATTTTTAAGAGGAATGGTATCTAATCGTGTAGGGAGGGGGACCTAATCTTTGAAGTAGATATCTCAATTAATTTCCGTTGGGATGAAGTCGTAGATGATAGTGATGCGATTTCTGTTAGAGTTCACATTTTTTTAATGGGTTCAAAATGACTAGAACTTTATAATATAATTATCGATTAATGAAATATGATGTAGCTGGAAGTCAACTTAAGTTAAAAAATTGCGCAGTTAAACAATTATTAATAAAAATTAAAAAAATTTAAATAATATTTTGAATTTCTTATACCAATAAGAGAGTTATTGTATCTGATGTGTAAAACACCAACTGTTATACTAACATAAGGTATTCAATTAAAAATATTTTATGCATTTATACAAAGGTAGGATGCAATTAATTTGCAATCTTTTGTCTTGTTTTAAAAAATTACTTATGTTCTTTTTTTTATTACTTTTTCCCCAGATATTGATTTCTATTGTGAAACTAGAAAAGTTTTAAATTTTTGCTTTGATTCCTACAATCCTATATTTTTTTCAATGAAAATATCAATTCTATGGAAAAAATTCTAAAGTAATAACAGGAAAAAAGTACCATTTTGCATTAACCGAGATTGTACAAGAAATGACACGTGTCATAGTCGATTTAAAAATTCTTTGCTACCAATTCTTCTTAAAAAGAAAATAAGACTCTTGGAAACAATTTCAGGACAATAAAAGTCCGTCTGCACCAATGCAAATTGCAAAAAAGAAAAAAGAAAAGACCTTTCTGAAGCATGAAGACAAAGAACTAACTCAACAGAAAACGAATTCACAGTCAACCCTACAAGATCTTCCCTCTCACCAAGGAGTTTCAACTATTTCTGGCAATCTCATGCCATTTCTGTCCCCCAAATCTGATTATCTTTTTCACCCTCTCCTGCACTAAATCACAAAAGGAAGCCTATAACACCGTGGGACACCTTTTATTTCACCCTAGTATGCCCTGGTGGAGTTCCATATGAAGATTGGATTGTGCCCTCCCTTCTTAGGGAGGCTGCCTTCAATCAGGAAATCTTTCCCTTTCATCCACATTCCGCCATCCGCAAAATTTTCCGGATCGCAGAATCGGTCGAGAACGAATGCAGGAAGAAATAAAAAAGGAAAGACAGAGAGAGAAAGAGAAAGAAAGGGTAAGATAAAGAAAGAGGTGTTTTTAAGAGGGATGATATCTAATCGTGTAGGGGGAGGAGATCTAATCTTTGAAGTAGATATATCGATTAATTTCCGTTGGGATGGAGTCGTAAAGGATCGTGGTGCGATTTCTATTAGAGTTCACATATTTTTTTTTTTTTTTTTATAACGTGTTCAAAATTACCAGAACTTTATAATAGAATTATGTATTAGTGAAATATGACGTAGTTTGAAGACATCTAATAGATTATGTGATATAAAATGATTAGTAAGAAATGGTAAAATAAATTTAAATAACATGTTGAATTTCTTATACCAACAAGCTTGCTATTCCATTTAATGGTTAAAACACTAACTGTTACACCAACAGAATTTATTCAAATAAAAATATATTATGCATTAAATAAACATGGTGTATGTAATTCATTTTTTGTAATAAAGTTTTTCATTAAATGGAAGTAATGACCGACTCGTGTGAATATCCTGGCACTATTGCATAATGGCATCCATTGCAATAGTGCCATCCTTCCACTGGTGGAATCCACTGCAATAATGACATTCTTCCACTGGTGGACTCCATTGCGCTGCTGGCATCTTTCCAATATTAGCCTACATTACAGCCATTGCTTTCAGAAACCAATAGATTTGATGGCGATTAGTACAATGCGTGTAAAATTATTTCGTCTCACTTTTATTTCATATGATATGCAAATGTGGCTTTTTTTAAAGATATACAGGTTTAGTATCTAATCATGAGTGAAGATATATTATTTTTTGCTGTAGATATCTAGATTGGAGCCTGATGGCCGAGTGACTAATGTTCTGGCACTGGGTACCACAGGTTTCGTTCTCGAGTCAGATATGTTTGTAGTGGTTCGAAATCTACTTTAAACCGTAAGTACCTCTCTAATATGACTGTTGGGCGTAATGCTGACAACTCTAACCCGTGAAAAGGAAATCTCATGTTTCAGAATCTGCCAGTAGGCCCACCATGGGGCTGTTACACCATTAAAGGATAACAAAGATTGATTAGGCTGAGTTAAAAAAAGGTTACAATTTTGCTGTTTCGAAACAAATTTGACGAACTAGGAAATAACATGCTGTTCTCTTTAAATTGGAAATCAGTATTTAACAAAGATAAATAAAATAATAAAATCTGTAATTAAAATATATTTCAAATAAATAACAAAAGAATTGTTGAGAAATTTTAGCAATTTACATTAATTGAATAAACAATAACGAATATTCAGGAAATAATTTGCGGATAATAATATACTAGGAAGTAATATGGTGTTCATTTTAAATCAGAAATCAATATTTAGTAAGGATGAATAAAATACTTAATTAAAATTTATTCCAGATATATAACAAAAACAACTGACTAGAAATTTTAGCAATTTAAATTAATTGAATAGACACTACGAATATTCATAAATTATCCAAATAAAAAATTATTGTCCATTTAAAATAAATCTAATTAACTGAGCTAAATGATAAATATTGGAAATAACACTTATTAATAATCATCCATTGTACAAAATTAAAAATTAATGAACAATAAAAAAACCATATTAAAGTTTTTATAAAATAAAATATTTCATATTAAATTTTCAAAGAGGGGAAAAATAATGAAGAAACTCAATTTTATAGATACTATAAATGATTAATTAAAAATATTTTTGCATCGCCAATTATCTATTTCACACCAATTATTCACTGATTATCAAGAAGCGTTTTTAGAACGCCCTACAATGACGTATTTATGGATGGAACAATACGCATTCTGAGTGCCGCATTCGATTATTCCATGAAATAAATGAATTTCTTTTGTCTCCGAACAGTGTCCAAAGCGTGTGGTGGGTCTTAAAAGACTTTAATTAATAAATGTTTCTGGACTTTTAAATCCAGGCTGCCTTTTGCCTCGATTTAGACAAAAGCAAAACAATTAAGCAACAGCTTATTTTGCAGGAATTTCCGGTGGAGCGTGTTTCGAACTATTACAAAAAGCTTCCGGTTACTGTTCCGCGTGAAAACATTGGGTTAATTGAAATATGACTATCTTTTAAACTTTGGTATATATTTTGAACTTCAACAATAAGGCATCATGCTGGTGTTTCTCTCATATTTGCTGCGTGATTTAGGAATAATTGTGATGTAGGAAATTTTTTCCATCTGAATTTGCAAAAAGCTTTCAGTATTTCTGAAAATAAGATGGATAACAATGGAATCATTAAAAAAAAATTTATTAGGTTAAACTATTGAATGATTGGAATTTTTGAAATTAAATTCGTGCTTGCGTTAAATGTGTTTGGAAGACAATTACTTTTACTGTTGTATTATTTGTGAATGAATATAACTGAAAATAATATCCCATATGTGAATATATATGTTCTGGCTGGTGGTGCCGCAGGTTTTGGGTTCGAGTTTGGCTTTACCATGGATGTTTGAATTGGTTCGGTATCCCGTTTAATGTCCCGGTCTAATACGACTGTTGGGCTGTCT